TGTGTGTGTGTGTGTGTGTGTGTGTGTGTGTGTGTGTGTGTGTGTGTGTGTGTGTGTGTGTGTGTGTGTGTGTTACATAATTATTTTCCACAGAGGGTTTTCTCCATATAAGCTGTGTGAGGATCAGGTCTGCTGCTACCTGAGAACTAGTGGTTGTCACCAAAGTGCTTTAACATTTCGCCTCATTTTAAAAGCATCAGAATAAATCTCTGTATAAGTAAAGATGTGTTCACTGTTTTCCTCTAAAGTTCAGATCTTAAGATGAAACCAAACTCGCAGTGCTTCTGTCTGTAGTGGAGGTGAAATCTGATGAAATCTGACGTTCCTTCATTGACGAATATTGATCGTATTGATGTAAGTCGTTGTGGTCCTCAGGTCGTCCCCCTCCAGAGGTGGTCTGGCTCCATGACGGGCAGGAGGTGATGGAGTCAGAGGACTTCCACCTCCTCAGGGAGGAGAACCGCTGCACTCTGCTGATCCAGGAGGTTTTCCCCGAGGACACTGGGACCTACAGCTGTCGGGCCTGGAACCAGTACGGAGAGGACCGCACCCAGACCCGGCTCACCGTGGAGGGTAACCACAGGGTCCTTCTTAAGGAACTTGTTTCAAACTAGTGATTTACTTCCAGATTGACCTCATTATTAACATCAGTTAGCTACATTAGCTACACAACAGTTACACCTACAAAGACATTTTAGTCAGAAACAGATCGGTCTGGAGGGACCACCCAGATAAAGGTGTCAGGTGTCATCGTGGTTCTGGTCTTGGTTGTGTTCTTGCTACAGAACCACAGGACGGGGTCCAACCCTGGTTCATCACCAAACCCAAACCAGTGAGCTCCATCGTGGGACAACACGTCCTCCTGTCCTGCGCTGTCGCCGGAGACCCATTCCCCCAGTACACCTGGACCAGAGCCTGCCTGAGCCGACCTCTGACCTCCGGAGGAAACTACGAGCTGCTGCAGAAAGAGGACGTTGTATCACTGCTGATCAGGTCAAACATCTTTAGATCCTGGACCGACAAGGATCTAATCAATACTGTCATATAGTAATACTTCCTCCTCTTCTTCTATTTTGTCTTCTTCTTCTTCAGGAAAGTTAAAAAGCATCATGCTGGGGACTACCTGATCACCCTCAGGTCAGAGAACAAATCTGTATATATTTATATGTATATTGGAGTCAACATATTGACTAAACTATAAGTATTAATGGAGATTTTGTGGACAGAAACATGCTAAAATAATCCTACAGTATGCATTTGAAGTGAGGATTAAAGTCAAAGAGGAAACACTAGCTCTCCCCCATCCATAATCTATCCATCCTCTTCACATACTGTGGTCCTCCATCATATTCATCCCAATGGTTTCACTTGTTCATGTCATTTAAGTAAGAATACTAACACATAGAGAGTTCCCACTGGTCATGGAGGGGCTATACATCATAAGTATGGTACTAGGTCTCTAAAGAAGGCCATAAAACAGAATCAAGGTTCCTGAAACCAACAAACCTAACCTGGTTGGGTTTGTACGACATTCTTCAGTCGGTGCTTATCGATGGACAAAACATTTTGACAACACAAGAATACAAAATGTACGTAACGTGGACACACAGAGCAGAGATATGGAAAGCATAACTTTCAGGGTTACTGTATAACACGATAAAGATACATTTACTCATGTGGCACATACTTCTGTCCAAAGTTATGTACAAACGTGATGCTACCGAAAAAAACTGGTAGGGTACTACAAAGCTAGTGCTAACCTCCCTAGGGTACTACGACACTAGGGAGGGTGCTGTAAAGTATATCAGGTAAGGTACTACGACACTAGGGAGGGTACTCTAAAGTATATCAGGTATGAGTATGTAGTATTGGTATATATTGCAGAGTTGAGTGGAGGCCCCTTTGAGGGTTCGGGTACTGAGCCTCTGCCCGTCTGTGTGTCAGGAACAAGGTTGGGGAGTGCAGCGCTGTAGCCTGTCTGTCTGTCACTGATGGAATGACAGACATGACGAGAGGACGAGGAGGACGAGCTGGAGAAGACAACAGGTGAGGCTTCACTCTGATGTTATACGTTATAAATACTTTACAAGTTGTTATTAAATCAGTGGTGGGCCGTACATGTTATACCTGAGCCTTCACTGCTGTCCTGCAACTGAAACACAGCTACGGTTATTTGTTTCATGTAAAAATGAAGCTCAACACCTATAAATACACTAACAGAGAACACGCCGAGAGTACGTCTCCTCTCGTCTATGACTGCAGCTGGGACTGCTGTGCAAGACTGCTGTGAGAGCTTTGGGGCTCACGGCAGCACCTGCTGCTCGTTCACCACAGAGAAGAATGTACGAGCTTTAACGTCAGAGTCACAGCACCAGAACAAGTCCCTAGATTTGTCTCCATGAGGGTTTAGAAAGTCACCAACTTGGCAACACTGGCACCTGCTAAATATGTCCCCAGAGCAACATTGGACGTAACAATAGTTCCTATCACATATTAAACCAAACAAAAATCCATCTTCATAAAAACAAGTTGTACAAATAATAATATATAAACAAGCATATTAAAGCTGCTGCAGATGTAAAAACGAACACATTTAACTTACCAGAGCTGCTGTTCACTATTTAAAGACAAAGTCCATCCTCCTTTCTTTGTTAATAAAGAGTTTAATCCCACGGTTGTTTAGTACATCCGTGTGTTTTAGTTCCAGTAAGCAGTCCTTCTCCATTCATGGACGCCAGTGAAGACAGTCGAGCCTCCCCAGTTGTATTTCTTGAATACGTTTTAATGCGTTTGAGGCTGAAAATGTCCGCTCCACAGAGGCAGCAGATATTGGGATTGTCACCGCCCAACATGTCACGCTAGCCCACTGACCAATCACATACTTGTAGGCCAACTAGCAGGCTCTGACACGTCAAAGAATACGCCCAACATGTCAAACTA